ATGCCTATAATCCCAGCACTCTGGGAGGCGGAGATGGGCTGAACACTTGAAGTTAGGAGTTTGTGACCAGCTTGGTCAACATGGAAAATCATGTTTGTACTAAAAATACAAAAATTAGCTGGGTGTAGTGGCGCATGCCTCTAGTCCCAGCTACTTGGGAGGCTGAAGCAGAAGAATCACTTGAACTCAGGAGGCAAAGTTTTCAGTGAGCCAAGACTATGCCACCGCACTCCAACCTGGGCGACAGGGCAAGACTCCATCTCAAAAAAACAAAAAAAAAACAAAACCAAAACAACAGTAACAACAATAAAAACCATGCAACTGCTATGGAAGATGGTGTGGTGTTTCTTCAAAAAATTAAACATAAAATTACCGTATGATCCAGCCTTTCTACTTCTGATTATAGACCCCCCCAAAAGTGAAAGCAAAAACTTGAACAGATGCTGGTACATCCATATTCACAGCAGCATTATTCACAATAATCAAAGGAAGGAAGCAACCCAAGTGCCCACAGGTGGGTGAAAGAATAAACACAATGTGTGGACGCACAGTGGAATATTATTCAGCCTGAAAAAGGAAGAAGATTCTAACACATGTTCCAACATGGATGAAACTTGAAGATAGTATGCCAAGTGAAAAAGACAGCCACAAAAGGGCTGGGTACGGTGGCTCACGCCTGTAATCCCAGCACTTTAAGAGGCCGAGGCAGGAGGATCATGTGAGCCCAGGAGTTTGAGACCAGTCTGGACAACATAGGGAGACCTAGTCTCTACACACACAAGAAAATTAGCCAGGCATAGGCTGGGCGCGGTGGCTCACACCTGTAATCCCAGCACTTTGGGAGGCCGAGGCAGGTGGATCACCTGAGGTCAGGAGTTCGAGACCAGCCTGGCCAACATGGTGAAACCTCATCTCTACTAAAAATACAAAAATTAGCTGGGTATTGTGGCGGGCGCCTGTAATCCCAGCTACTCAGGAGGCTGAGGCAGGAGAATCGCTTGAACCCGGGAGGCGGTGGTTGCGGTGAGCTGAGATTGCACCACTGCACTCCAGCCTGGGTGACAGAATGAGACTCCATCCCCCCTGCCAAAAAAAAAAAGAAAATTAGCCAGGCATGGTGACATGTATCAGTAATCCCAGCAACTCCGGGAGGCTGAAGTGGGAATATCATATAAGCCTGGGAAGTCAGCAGGGCAATGAGACATAACTGTGCCACTGCACTCCAACCTGGGTGACAGAGCAAGACTCAGTCTCAAAAACAAAAGAAAGAAAGAAATATGATTAACTTTTATAACAATATAATGACTAGGAATATTAACTTATTTATAGCACAGCAAAGGTGGAGGAAGGAATAGAGAGAGAGAGATACTACATTATGAAGGGGACATTGGCAATCCCATAGTCCCACTAACAAATCTAGACTTAAAATTTGGTTAATATAGAGAATATGGTATAAGCAGGGAGGACTAACAATTTCTCCTTAAGTTTTTCCTGTGGTTTCTGTCAGGCCTCTGAGCCCAAGCCAAGCCATCATATCCCCTGTGACTTGCACGTATATGCCCAGATGGCCTGAAGTAACTGAAGAATTACAAGAGAAGTGCAAATGCCCTGCCTCACCTTAACTGACGACATTCCACCACAAAAGAAGTGAAAATGGCCGGTCCTTGCCTTAAGCAATGATATTATCTTGTGAAATTCCTTTTCCTGGCTCATCCTGGCTCAAAAAGCTCCCCCACTAAGCACCTTGTGACCCCCACTACTCCGACCTGCCAGAGAACAACACCCCTTTGACTGTAATTTTCCTTTACCTACCCAAATCCTATAAAACGGCCCCACCCTTATCTCCCTTCACTGACTCTTTTCAGACTCAGCCGCCTGCACCCATGTGAAATAAACAGCCATGTTGCTCACACAAAGCCTGTTTGGTGGTCTCTTCACATGGACGGGCATGACAGTTTCATCTTGCCATTCCTTGCTGTCTTCCTCCACTTAAATAAAAGGGAGGAAGGGAGGAAGGAAAAGGGCAAGGAAACGGAAGATGCACCCATAACTCCCAAAACTAGAGAAGGTTTGGGCAAATAGTACTTGAAAGAGAGATAACTCGGGTTCAGTGGCTCATGCCTGTAATCCTAGCATTTTGGGAGGCTAAGGTGGAAGGATCACTTGAAGCCAGGAGTTCAAGACCAGCCTAGGCAACAAAGCGAGACCCCTGTTTTTTGTTTTTTGTTTTCTACCTTTTTTTTTTTTTTTTTTTTTTTTAAAGAAAGAAAGCTCTAAACAGTTGAGATACCTAGTTTCTTGAAATAATTGTTGGTGGTGACAATCCTGAGTTGTTTCTTATTTCTGACACACCAGAAATGTGAATCCTATTGTAGTCTCAAGTGACTTTGAAGGAGTCCTTGCTGAGGCATATAGAGCCATCCTATTGGGAGAGAACTGGGCTCCAACCAGCCAGGGGCCTCTCATGATAATGCCAACGGGGCAGGGCATGCTGATTCTCTTTCTTGCTTCTCTCTCATCTCATCTCTCTCTTTTCTTTGCCGCTCAGCAGCTATCTTGCTATCTTGTTCCAATGGTGTCTTTTTTTCTGTCTTACCTTTTCCCTTTCCCATTCTTCCAGCATACTTCTGTCAGTGAAATGAATGCTCATGGTTTTTAATGAAACTTTTAAAAGCAAACACCCACTGATTCTGTAGCAAGACTGCTAGTTGCTTTCCAGCCATCCATACTCCCTGTCTTTCCAATGTTTTACCTGTGTTCATGGCTGTTCAGTGAAAGACTGCATCTCTTAGCCTTTCTTGCAACTAAGACTAGCACGTGACTAAGTTCTGGTCTTTGGGATTTGAGCGGCGGTGATACACGCAGTTTCAGCTCATGGCACAGAGAGGTGTCCTCTCTTTCCAACCCTTCTCCATCCTGCTTCCTGACACGGGCATGTGCTGGGGCCCTCTGGGACGATACAGATGAGGCCAGTACCCAAAGGGTGACAGAGCTACAAGCTACCAGGACCCGATGTCCCTGTGTGAACAGATAGACTTCTGCCTTGTTTGAACCATTGTTACCGTGATCTTTGTTACAGCAGCTGAATATATACTCTAATGTAAATCCTACCATGGGCAAGAGACTGGATTAGGCAATAAACATCTAAAGATGAGTGAAATGACTTGAAAGGGCAAATCCTGAAAGAGTTCGAAATTGTCCCAGTTGTCTCAGAGAACTAATATTTATGATTTTTGAATAAATGTAGCAATTGATTCTCCTGGGTCTTAAGACTTGAAACGTACATTTGTCTTACCTCAGTTCCTTCCTCAGGAAACTGACCCTCAGGCAAAGAATTGAAACTCATGAGATCACCACATCCAGACAATGAGTGGCCAGACTCCCTCATCCATCATGATTGCTTCCCTACCCCTCCCTCATTCCTTTTCTCCCCAACTTCCCCGCTACATAAACCTCCCAATTTTAGTTGGTAGGGGAGACGTATCTGAGACTTACCTCCCATTCTCCTCTGCTGCAGCACCCAATTAAAGCCTCTTCCCTGGCACTACTCATTGTCTCCGTGATTGACATTTCATACAGTGAGCAACAGGACCTAGACTGAACCCCTAGCGTTTCTGTAACAAGTTCACAACCAAGTGGAAAACATAGCCACAAACTTAGTAACTGTAATACAGGGTAGACTATGGAAACGACTTTATTGGAGATGTAAACAAAGGCTGCTGCAAGACATTAATTCTGGTTGTAGTGGTACTAAGAAAGACTTCCTAAATGAGGCAATATATGACTTGGGATTTGGACAGTGAATTGAATTCTAATAATGAAAGAGGATAAACAAGGCACTCCAGGAAGAAGGAACAGCATGTGTAAAGGCACGAAGACATAGAAGTGCACATCGTATCTAGAAAATAACCATTAGAACAGGCAGAATATCAGTGAATGTTGAGGAATAATAGCCCAACTAGGTAGGGACCAGATTGTGATGGCCCTTGAATGTCATATTAAGGAATTTGGGCCAGGCTCAGTGGCTCATGCCTGTAATCCCAGCACTTTGGGAGGCTGAGGTGGGTGGATCATTTGAGGTCAGGAGTTTGAGACCAGTCTGGCCAATATGGTGAAACCCCCGACTCTACTAAAAATTACAAAAATTAGCCTGGTGTGATGACGGGCACCTGTAATTCCAGCTATTCAGGTGTCAGCTCTGTGTCCCCATCCAAGTCTCATGTCAAATTGTAATCCCCATGTGTTCAAAGTGGGGCCTGGTGGGAGATGATTTGATGGGGTGATTTCTAATGGTTAAGCACCATCCCCCAGTGCTGTCTCATGATAGAGTTCTCATGAGACCTGATGGTTTAAAGGTGTGTGGCAGTTCCCTGCTTGTTCTGTCTCCCTCCTGCCCAGCCATGGTAACAAATGCCTACTTCCTCTTCACCTTCCGCCATGATTGTAAGTTTCCTGAGGCTAGCCATGCTTCCTGTTAAGCCTGCAGAACTGTGAGCCAATTAAATTTCTTTTCTTCATAAATTACTCAGTCTCAGGTAGTTCTTTATAGCAGTGTGAAAACGGACTAATACAAATAATGACATATGAAAGCCAGAGGGTCTCCTGGGCAGGAAATAACTAGACTCTCAAATCTTGAAGTCAGATGGCAGCAAAAGTTGAAGAAAAGGCCCAGGACTAAAACAGGAGCCAAACTTGCTCCATAGAAGAGTGAATTTTTGGCCAGGTGTGGTGGCTCACGCTGGCACTTTGAGAGGCCGAGGCAGGCAGATCATGAGATCAGGAGATCCAGACCATCCTGGCCAACATAGTGAAACCCTGTCTCTATTAAAATTACAAAAATTATCTGGGTGTGTTGGTGGGCACCTGTAATCCCAGCTACTTGGGAGGCTGAGGCAGGAGAAGCGCTTGAACCTGGGAGGCGGAGGTTGCAGTGAGCCAAGATTGTGCCACTGCACTCCAGCTTGGGCAACAGAGCAAAACTCTTGTTTCTAAAAAAAAAAAAAAACAAAGAAGAGTGAATTGGCAGGCACTGTGGGTGGCGCTCACACCTGTAACCCAAGCACTTTGGGAAGTTGAGACAAGTGGATCCCTTGAGCTCAGGAGTTCAAGACCAGCCTGGGCAACATGGCGAAACCCCATCTCTACAAAAAATAAGCCGGGCATGGCAGTGTGCACCTGTAGTCCCAGCTACTTGGGAGGCTGAGATGGGAGGCTCACCTGAGATGAGAGGCTCACCCCAACCTGGGAGGTCGAGGCTGCAGTGAGCCATGATAGTGGCAGAGCGAGATCCTGTCTCAAAAAATTAAAAATACATAGAAGAGTGAATCCTCAGCCATGCCAAGTGTGTTACATCAATGTCAGTGTCTTTGCTGGGAGGAAGTGGGATCCTGAAACTTGAGATGGAAAAATCCAGGTTGATAAACTTGAAAATCTTGAATCCTCAGATTCCCCTGAACCCTCTGGGTCTGAAGAAGCAGCTCAGTCCTTCCTGTGAAAGGCCGATGATCCCACTTTACTTAAAATGATGTAGATGGTTAGGCCTAGCTTCTGCGGGAGAGTGGTTGGTTGTGAGGGTCGCAAGATGGGAATTCTTCCAGAATGTAAAAATATCTCACTGTGGGTGCAAGTTCCCAAAGACCTGGAAGATCCAGAGGTGTTTCAGGCCCAGAGGCGGCTGCTAGAAGCCACGTATGGCCCAGAAGGGTCACAGATCCCTTACACTGAGCAGGTGAGGAAGGCCATGTTTGAGCTGAAGGCTCTGAAATCTTCAGATCTCACTGAGGTCGTGGTTTTTGGCTCCTGTTTGTACAAGCTCTGGACCAAGTGGATGCTGCAAGTCCGTGGCTGAGTGGTTCCAGCTTGGTTTAAACTCTGCTCCAGAGTGATGAATTAAGGAAAAAAACATCTGTTTTGGCATCTCTGCCCTTGCTCTGACTCCAGTTGTGAATATCGTTTTTGAATGTTGCGAGTTCAAGAATAAAGTTTTAAATAAACTGTAAATAGTTTTAAAAAATGACTTAGAGGCCTTTGGCTTGCATCATCCCCATAATGCATAAGATCACATCCATCCATCCCCATAATCAACTCTCATCTCCCCACCCAGCCACCAGACCAGTGCTGGGATCACGGAGAACCGTACCTAGCACCTCCCTTAGCTGCTAAGGGAAACATGGATCACAGCTAAAAGAGATGCAGGGTATAGCTAGTATGTATTGGCAGGAGCTGGGAGTGAATATGTGGAACTGGATGCTAAGGAGGCTGGATCAGTGGAGATAAAGAAGAATTTATGGATAAGGGAGAACTCTTCCATAACACAGGATTTAACACCTTGGGAAAGAGTGTTGACTTGCTGCCAAGATAGTTTTTGAGAAAGCTTAGAAGAAATATAATAGAAAATTCAGACTGCTTTGGAACATAGCAAAGGAGTAAAGGGCTTAGAGATGTGTGCTTTCTAGAGTAGTTATATAGGTCTGGAAAACCCATCCGCTATGTTCTGCAGAAGAATCCAGATGATACTCCATTTCTTAAAGGGATAAGGAATGTGCTGGTAAAAGGAGGCACCAGAATCATTGAGAAACTCAGTGATCTTCTGTAGGCCAGGGCCACAGAAGTAAGAGATGCCATTGTAAAACTGGGCTCCCTAATAGGCAGGGGCAGGATAGGATTCTATCATGTAACAGAGGTTAGGTAGTAGCACTTAAACCATCACCTGCAAAGTAGGTGAGATTATCATAGTAAGCAGAAAAAAACAGAGTGTTTCCCAGAGGGGTCTGAGACAAAGAGGGCTGTGGAGATGGTTGTGAGATGATGGGTCTAGGGGCAAGGTGGAAAACTAGTACAAGTTTTGACTATTGCTCAATCTGTAAAATGAAAAGAAATCAAGAATGAATGATCAGGAGGCTGAGGGCAGCTGCCCAAATAAAAAAGACATGGTTGCTTGACCAGTTTCTGTATCTGAACCAGTTTTCAGGTCCAGAACCCAGTGGGTGAAGTCTGCCGTGCCAGATGTATCCTTGCCAATGAAGACTAGTATGGCCTCAGGTACAGACTGTTGGCCTGATGAATACAGTCATTTCCATCCTGATAAGAAAGAAGAATAAGAATCAGTTCAGGCCAAGTGCAGTGGCTCACGCCTGTAATCCCAGCACTTTGGGAGGCCAAGGTGGAAGGATCCCTTGAGTTTAGGAGCTTAAGACGAGCCTGGGCAACATGGCGAAACACCATCTCTACAAATTGCAAAAATTAGCTGAGCGTAGTGACTCACACCTCTAGTCCCAGCCACTTGGGAAGCTGAAGTGGGAGGATGGGAGGTAGAGGTTGCAGTGAGCCAAGATTGCACCACTGCACTCCAGACTGGGCAACAGAGTGAGACCCTGTCTCAATTAAAAAAAAAAAAAAAAGAAAGAAGAAGAAAAAAAGAATCAGTTTGCATTCATGTGGGAATGGACACAAGTATTAATTTATGTTTCCGCCCTAGGGCTGTTAACTTTTCTGTCCTTTCACATAATATAGTAGAAAGACATTCAGATCACCTGGAGATGCAGATTATCACATTGGTTTATTACAACTATCACTTCATTGAACTGGATGAGCAACAAGTCGCCAACATGTGGGTGGCCCTGGAAAAAATTTGTGCTCCAGAGAGTGGGAGAGAAACCCTGTGAAGATTCAGTGTTCTAAGACATCAGTGAAGTTTTTAGAGGTCTAGTGGAGGGCATGCTAGGACATCCCCTCTGAAGTAAAGGATACATTGTTGAGTTTGTATCTCCCATCACTAGGAAGGAAACGCAATACCTGGTAGAACTCGATGTTCTGGCGGCAGCATATACCAAGCTCCAGCTCATTTATGGTGTAATATGGAAAGCTTTCCAGAGCAAGACATGGCTTTGCAACAGGTCCAGCCTGTGGTGCAGGCAGCACTGTTATTTGGGCCTTAAGATGGAGAAGCCCCTATGATGTTGGAGGTATCAATGGTGGGAAAAGATGTCTCATGCAGTTTATGGCAAGCCCACATAGACCCTAGGATTTGGAACACGGCCCATCATCTACACAGAATTTATAGACCTTTTAAAAATCAGCTTCTGGTATGCTACTGGCCTTGACAGAAATAGAGCATCTGATTATGTAATATGTATCCATGTGACCAGAAGGGCCCATTATGAGCTAGCTTCTGGGTTTTACAAGAACCACCAAGTCATAAGGTCAGGTAGGCCTAACAGCAACCCATTGTAATTGGGAAGTGGTACATCTAGACTGGGTACAAGCCGGCTCAGACAGAGGGTACAGCTATCACATAGGTAGTACAGACCCCAGTTACATTGACAGACATTGCCACTTTTATGGTTTTAGCTAACATTACCTAGGTGAAAAGATATTAGCAAAACTTTGTCTTAGTAAGGTTCTAATCAGGAAGACATAAATGATTCTGAGTATTTGAAAATAGAGTTTATGATAGAGAATTGTTACTATTGATAGAGAATTGTTAATCAACAGGGGATGGTAAGGCAATCCAGAGATGAGCAATGATAGGCAGCCACTGTCCCCTTGGCTGGAGAAGAAGTGGTATTCCTGGAACCCAGGGGTAGGGGTTACCTGGTATGCCAGTCATCGATTTATTGTCTCTTCACTCCAAATCCATTCTTCGTTGCCTGTAGTCATAATTCTAAGATGGCCCCCAAGATTCTTACCTTCCTGGTGTACAGGTCCTGTGTAATCCCTTTTCCTTGAGTATAGATGGGACTGTGAACATGATGGATTTTACTCCCATGATTAGGTTACATCAGATGACAAACATGAAGATGTAATTGAGATCTCAAATCAGTTGACTTCGAGTTAATCGAAGGGTGGTTTTCCTGAGTGGGTCTGACCTACTCAGGTGCTTTCTTGAAAGGGAAAGAGGACTCTTCTTGGGAGAGGAGATTCAAAGTTAAGAGGGCCCATGGAGGGGGCGACATGGCCAGAGTATCCTCTAGTTGTTGAGAGTGGTCCCTGGTTGACAGCCAGCAAGAAAAACAAGGTCTTCAGTTCTACTACTGCAAGGAACTAAATTCTGCCAATGACCTAAATGAACTTGGAAGTGGATCACTTCCTACTTGATCCTCCAGATGAATATGTAGCCAGCTGACACCTTGATTTCAGCTGTGTGAGACCTTAAGCAGAGTACCCAGACAAAGTGTGCCAGACTCCTAAGCTGCAGGAGCTGTGCAATCATAACTTTGTGTTGTTTAAGCCACTAAGTTTGTGGTGATATGTTATGCATCAATAGCAAACTAATACAGGCCCTGTAAATAGTTCTCCTCCTGCATGATATTAAGCTTTGCTGGTAGACGGTGCTGGAGAGACATTGCAGGAGGAAGGTTTTTTTTCTCTCTCTTCCTGACTTCCATGTGCTCCTCTCACCGGTGCTCCTGCAGTATGTACAGCATCTGCCATACTTGGCTCCTGCAACACACATGGCTTCTGTAGTGCCCAGCTTGTGCATGCAGCTTCTGCAGTATTTCCTAGCTGGCAGCACACAGTACCTCCCCATGGGGAATTTCCCCAGCATCGCCTAAGGTATCTTTGCAATGGGTGGCAAGGTTTGGTATCTCTCTGTAGACAGCTTCTGTTAGTACCTCAGCAAGTGCTTCTGGCATGGCACCTCAGCTTCACTATCCAGTGAGCCAAGGCTATTCCATCTCCAACAAGATCTGGATTTTTGTCTTGGTGAGGTTGCAGAGATCTTACTTGGATGCTTTATCTCAGTCCCAGGGTTGTGACTGCTCCTTATATCTGCTATTCTTGTATTCTTTAGAATTCTCTTTCTTACTGCATTACTCCAATATCTCTCTAATAAATTTTCTTTATTTTAAATTTTAATTTAACTTAATTTAATTTTATTTTTTGAGTTGGGACCTTGCTATGTTGTCCAGGCTGGTCTTGAACTCCTGGGTCCAAGCAATTCTCCCTCCTTGGCCTTTCAAAGTGCTGGTATTATAGGTGTGAGCCACTGTGCCTGGCCTAATTTTCTATATTAAATTTTTCCTGTTTAAATTACTGTGTGCATTATTTTTCCTGATTGGACCCTGACTGATATATCTGACAAAGTTGGACTCACAGCAGGACTCTTCAGTTGGGAGCTGGGGCCAGATGGGAGAGCCAGTCATTGCTCCAGTTGCCTTCTGAGGCAAAAAGGAAGGAGAAATACCTTGATTTCTTCTTTACCACCCACTTCCAATCTCCCAGCCTATAACCTCTACTAGTGCCTCCCATTGGCCAAACTCAGCTGGAAGCAAGCTGGCACGGGGACCAGGAAAGCCAGCCCCTGTGGTAGGGGGCAGAGCAGGGAAGGTGAGGGTGGGAATGAGGGTAACCAGGACTGATAAAATCCTGCAGTAGTCATTGGCATTCAGGGATTAGTTCTGCTAAGTTTATGACAAGATACAGACAGACTATATTTATCTCTTTATTAAGTAAATTAATTTAAAGTCTATTTTTCCCTCTGGGAGCACATAATAGAGACTTTTCTGAAAACTTAGAGGGAAAAATGACATCTTGAAATATTTAGCTGTTAATAAAAATTAATGCCTCTAAATATACTCTTTCATCTACTACATCAAATAAGCTGTTTAGAAAAAATACTTTAAAATGAAGATAAGTGAATAATTAATTTTAAAGACAGCACTTTCTTAAATAAATTCAAAAAATATTGACAAGAAATTTACAGGAAGTCCAAAGACTAGGGCAATAATTTAGAAATTACTTGATCCACTGGCATTTTTAAATTGAAAAAGGAATTGGAGACTCTGAACTCTTTGTATTATTGACCTCATTACCTTATAAGGAAATTGAATTTTTAAAATGTCATCTCACCTTTTGATCTGGAGAATCTTTGGAAATAATTCACATTTAGCAACTGAAACACTTTGAAGAGAACATTTTAAGTAAAAAAAGGACTATTTTGCAAAGCTAATGCAAGTACTTATTTTAGCAATTTTAAATGAAGCATGATCTATCTCCTAGCTAATTTAAATAAATCTATCCTAAAAGGAAAGCTGAGTCCTGGAATAATATATGATGCCTATGGTCATTAAAATCACACTTTTTCCATAACATAGAAAGAGAATAAAGTAATAATGACGTATGGCTACTTCGATATCTAGATATCAGATTAACAAATGAGTTTTGTGTAAACCCCAAAGTGGAAGAAGAATAGCTGTCTTTTGAATAATAGTTAAAGTTACTTGAATGAATCACCATATGTGACTAGTTTTACTAATAGTTCAAAAACACTGATACTATTTCAAATGATTAACACTCAATATTTTGGATATTCATTTACTGTCAGATTTGATAATACTAAATAAAAAATTAAAAAGGTACCCCACCTGCCAATGGAAGCAGAACACTGGTATTGGTGATGTTCTCTATCCCTCACAGCTTGACCATCTAACTTTGCAGGTTTGGAACTTCAGCTGCCAGCTTAGCCAGTTGACATTAACCACTAAAAAACTGCCTATTGTATGAAGTTGATTTGCAAAAACGAAGTGAATTTCAGTAAAACATAGAATTGCCAAGCCCTCCGATATTCATTTAAGTCATTTAGTCCCTCTTATTTCAACAGAAAAGTCTACATAAGAAGCCAAATTAACAATGAATGGTTACTTAGGAAACCTAAAGTCTATTTAAGAGATCACATTAAAGTTAGTGAATATATGTATCCAAGACACTAATAACAGAAATAATACTATTTCTTCTAGCCATAATAAATGCTCGGTTAGTGGGTGCTGTTATTTACAATAGTGTCTTGCAACAGTTTACAAATCTTGTTCATGTAATATCTACTTGATTCTTACAAGAACTACACGGAGTAATGCGTCTAGTATTATCATAAGCATGCCTCTTTTACTGATAAAAAAACAGAGATTCACAGAGTAAGTGACTTGACTAAAATCTCGTAGTGGATATTGTTGACATCTGTTGTTTTGGTTGGGCCAATTTCCTTCCTCTTTTTGGTAATAGAACTCTGATTTTTCCTTTAGGGAACTACTCAGTGCCTTTCTATAACTCCTAGCAGGTCTGTCAATCAAGGGGCTCTGCCTCTGTCTGTGATGTGTGACCCATACTGACCCATCAGGGTCCACTATATTCCCCTGGATGCAGAGATTGGTGTATGGGT